TGACGAGAATATCCTCTGCCACATCGAAATAAATAACAGATTTTGCGTCTTGGATCTGAATGATTGAAGTTTTGACATAGGCAAAAAAGTCGTCTTTGTTTTATTCCTTGAAAACATCAGACTCGGTCAGTCGCAGTTTTCGTCAACATTGCCGCGTTACCGCCGCAATGCGACCGCACGCGTCACTGCATTGAACTAGTCATTCTACTAATTCAGAACAGGATTCTAGACAAGATAGCTCCTACCTCGCGCTCGAACTGCTCTCCCTGCTTCACGTCACGAGGATATCCATCAATCAAAAATCCTTTTGAACCTTTGGCGACTTCTTTGAGCATCGCTTCTTTGACCAAGTCCAAAACCACTTCCTGAATATAGGATAAGGACGGGTACGTAATCGAAAACGGGATCGTGTCTGAGGACCACTTCTGATGGACTACGTACCAGGGGAACCAGCTCGCCAGCCTTCATAATCTTGTCAAGCTTAGCGCCTCTAGGAGAGCCAGATTTGACCTGCAACAATTAGGTCTGAAATTGAAACTATTCATCACATCCCTTTAAAATGAGAAGCCTATTAATACCTACAGAAAACATGCGTTCGTGACAAGACCGCGTCATCTGCTCAATGGGATCTTTCAGCCAGACACCTTTTGAAACTTAATGCGTTGAGCCGACGTTAAGGGAATATAGGGGAAACAAGAGATATATCATAAATCATAGGAATATATCATAAAATCTCTAAGAGCTAAAAATAAAAAAAATCTAACTATAAGAGCTCTGAAGTTGTCAGAATCCACAAAAATTATTTAAAGAGTTCGGTAAAATTCACGGGCCAAGTTTAGTGACAGACGTAAGTGGCATCAAGAGCACAATCAACGGTCTTGGCACGAAAGTAAGCATACTGTGGAGGTGAAATGTGCCATCGATGGTAAGGGGTGTGGAAAATAAATAACCATCTACATAGAAAAAACTAGATGAGAAAATGAAATCAGTGAGAAATGTATGCAAACTCGGGTCTCATCTAGTTGGGGGGAGGCATCTGTGCGACAGGGCGCATTCATAGTCGGTCGCCCGATCATAACGATCGTAACGATCGCACAGCATTAGGTGCGTATCGATTCCGACACGTCCGACGATCGATACATATCTAATGCTGTGCGATCGTTACGATCGTACGATCGGACGACCGACTATGAATGCGCCTACAGTTCATATCGAGTAGTGCAATTTTTCGCAGAGAGAAGCTCCGAAGTGAGCATAAAGAATAAAAGTACGAAATGGTTACACCCTGGAATTCTCTCCCCTGCAAAAATGAAATTTCTGGTGGCCGGTAAATGTCGCATCAAATGTCACCCACTCCCCTGGATGCTGGATGAAACCCTAGCCTCAACGAAAATTACCTCATCTCTCAGGAGGTCTCCCGATGACAGATGGGAGAGGCCATATTTTGCAACGATTTTTTCACATTGCGTGCCCTTTCCAGAGCCTGGCCCACCTGAACACAGTAATAATGAGCTTTCAAGCAAAAACAGGATTATCACATGGATCTTGTAAAATCATTTGTATTTACCAACAATGAAGAATATTGGCACGTTAGCCTTCTTTAGCGGAGCCAAATCGATCTTCTTCCTATCCATGAGCTGGAGCTGTAATAACGAATCGGTAAGGAGGCGTAGTCAACCTCCAATAGTGGAAGAAATGCACAACTCACAAGCAGCTAGCACGTAGGCGAATAAGCCTGAAAAGTTCATGCTATTATGCTAAGTACACCCACCATCGCAGAGTACATTTCACGATAATCACGATATCATACAAGCAAAGCACGTACGGGTGTGGTTCACTAGGACAGAAAGCGACTTTTTCGCGTTTCGCAGCGCGAAACATTTTTCGCTGCGGGAACCTCAGGTCCACCGCTGATCATCAGTGGACCCGAGGTTCCCGCAGCGAAAAATGTTTCGCGCTGCGAAACGCGAAAAAGTCGCTTTCTGTCCTAGTGAACCTCTCGGCTCCGTGACTTTCTTACACATTAAGTCGTGGACGCGGCGCGCGTGTACGAGCCAGTAGTGCTCCGCACGATTCGCGCGCCTCTTGAACGTGGGTTTCACGCAGCCGCCCACAACAGCGGGGGCATTGCCAACTCGTCCACGCTCGCCGCGGCCACGCTATCTAGGTGCTATCTTAATTGGGGGGGGGGGACCACGCGGCGGCGCGGCGCTCTGTTCGTCTCCTCCTGCAAGGCTTAGTCCTCGATGGCGCGTATTTCGAAACTGCCACGTGATGGCGAAATAGTAACTGCCCCTGGGACTAAGCCTTTAGAGGAGCAGACAAATAGGCCGCCTCGCCGCCGCGTGGTCCCCTCCAACCAAGGCCGATGTCAGACTGCGAATTCGCGCGATTCGCTACTAGCGATTCGCGCGATTCGCTAGCGTCCGCGGTCGCGTTGCGGTACCAGCCAATTGAGTGATTCACTGGCCGCGACGCGACGCGCAGACGCTAGCGAATCGCGCGATTCGCAAAGTCTGACATCGGCCTAAGATAGCACCGCGTTTTAGTGCAGAATAGCTTGGAGAGCAACTGTTGCTTAGCGAAGCAACCGTACAAGGCTTACGGAGATCCGAAATTATATGCGAACTTTGGAACTTACACATATTTCAAAAAAATAGGATCACAGGGTTTCTGTCAAGTGAGGGTGCGAGTGAAGATGGACAAGCAGACTTATAGTGGTTTTAAGACGAAGCCTTTTGAAGGGAAATAAAAAAAGAAAAGATGTTCTAATACTGCACATGTATGGGAGCTCCCAAACAGTGCTTCAAGACACTAAATTCCCTGGCCTCAAAGTTGGCAGAAACCCTGAGACGAAGTGTAGTCTCACTGCGCGGCAAACTCGTCCAGCTGTAGTGGCTGTAGTCGCAGCGTAGTATTAGCGTTCAATGAAGCACACTCTATGGTGGCCGTTTTGTTCCCATGTCTATCCGTTTCTTGATGTCTTGGGAAATGTAAAGTGCCCAACGAACAAAATTCGAACAGCGATTCAATTTTGAATAATATAATTTTGCGCCGAAAGGAAGCGTGACGCAAAAGTGCAGACTATGAATGTTGCTAAGCGACGGACGGGATTGACTGGTACATGGGGATTCCCGCTTCCAGTAACAAAATGTTCGCAATATTTGCAATGGAGTCGTGCACCCCAATGCCGAGCACTTGTTATTGATCGCCGACAGCATTTCACAACCCGTGTGGCTCCAGTGCTGCACTGCGTTCCCCGTAAACAAAATACACTTTCTATGATAACTGGAAAGTAACTAGCCTGAGTAAACAAAAGTAAATGACTAATATTTAAACAGCGGGTCAAAACAACTTTCCTATGGGATATAGCGAACAAAAATAGCGTAGGAAAACGGGGTGGGAAAAGAAAAAAAAAAAAAAGCAGCTGCACCACAAGGAAGTAAAAAAATTGGGATAACTTCCAAAAATGGAGCTTTCTAATGTTTGAAGAAAGCAAGGAAATAGTGACTCATTCGAAAGTTGAAAAGAATTGAGAAATTTGGAAAAAAGGTATGAAGGAGTGGGTGGTTTTCATAAAGTTTCAGAAAAATGAGCACATGCCGGAAATGAAGCCGTTGCAGTGTCTGAGTCTCTTAATTCGTGAATAGCTTGATTATCGATCGGTGCGCACGGCTTTTTCGGGCTCATTGTTTGATCGCTCTATGATTCTTCATTAATTCTTGCTACGCGATTACCGGTTTATGATTATTTTTCTCTTCAGAAAAGAACTCATAGATACCAGAGATATTTCCCGAGCAAACATAAATCGGCTTCATGCTCGCTACATAGGAGAATCGATTAATAGGGAGAGCCTTTTTTATGCAAATGTTGACTGGGACTATGGAATTCGGCTGTTTAAGAGAAAG